CTTTTTGCTGTTCTCTGCATCAAATAGAGAAGACGATTTGTGAGAGTCACGGAATCTGCTGGGTGGAAGTCTGAGCCAGTGTCAATACGTTTAGACCCTGATCATAATTTTTTGTCATCAGGCTATTTTTTTTTTTTACTTATTTTCTCTTTTACCCCACGGGCAAGGATAGTTGATGTACCATATGCATTGGTCTAGGGTGTCTTCCCTTCCCCGTATCATTACTCCAAAAAAGGAAGGGAACATTAGGCAAGCATCTGGGTCCCTGTATCTCTGGATATCTTGGTTCCATCTGTAGAGTCTCAACCCCATTTGCGAAGTAGTAGGGATTCACTCAGATTCCTGCAGGCATCAGGGCTCAGTGTAACTGGAGTTGAAATCCCCTATAATCGCTCCCCTCTCTCAGCACTGTTTTGCCTGCTTGGCAGCAAAAATACCCATCTGAAAAGCACTGCCAGGCATGGTTTACAGACACGAAGGGTCTCCATCCTTTCCAGGTGTCAAAAGCAGTGTTAAAAACTTTACCGCACACTAAAACTTCATTGTGCAGAGAAAGTGTAACTGACTTCTTTTTATCTAGAACTCATCTGGCTGCCTTCTTGGGTGGGGGTTCACGTTAATGCTCAATCCACTTTATACCTCAGTCTGACCTAGAATTAAGCAGTCTCTTTAGAAAATGTTTAGATGCTCTTGGTGAGACAGCTTAGTTTTGTTTTGTTTTTTTAATTTTTTTAATCTTTATTTATTTTTGAGAGAGAGACAGAGAGACAGAGAGAGAACGTGAGCAGGGGAGGGGCAGAGAGAGAGGGAGACACAGAATCAGAAACAAGCTCGAGGCTCTGAGCTGTCGGCACAGAGCCCGATGCGGGGCTCGAACTCACGGACCGTGAGATCATGACCCGAGCCGAAGTCGGACGCTTAACCTACAGAGCCACCCAGGTGCCCCGAGACAGGTTAGTTTCTAAGACAGCTCCCCTCCTCCCTGCTTCTCTCCCAGGCTGCAGGTAGTTTTATGGGGAGGAAGGATATGGCCTACGTAGCGTCATGGCAAAGGGGACGTAGGGACCCTTGCGTGTGGGTCCTTGATCTCCTCCGCTGTCTATGCTAATACCTCTTGCCCACCTGATCACGCATTACTGTGCTGTCACTCAGAGCCCAGGATGTGACTAGTGTAACTGATGATCCCCATCTCTCTCTCTCCCTTGGCTTTTTCAGAGCGGGTACCATTCTCGATAAAGTCAAAGTCACCTCAGTTCGCACTAGCCGTTTACTCATCATTTCCTGCACGTCCTCCATTGAGCCAACTAGCCCCATGGTCCAGACCCAGCCTGTTCTGCTGGGTCACCTTTTCCTGCTTTACAGCGTCCACAGGCAGTGCCGCTGACTCTCAATCTACTGTCTGAGCTAGTCAAAAATAAGGTACCTCAGTAAAGCCAAACCCGAGGATTTTAGATCTGCACAGCTAAGCTGATAACGGCAGTACCCCAGGTTGATGCAGGGACGACCTGAGAGGATTTACCCTCTGGAGTCCTGAGTGGGGAATCAGGAAGGAGAGAAGGCCCTCTGCCCTCAGGGTTACCCTCACTGTTGTAAGACACTAATTGGGACTCACAATTTGCTTGTTGTTTGTTCAGTAAACACTACCAGGCTCCTCGTCATGGTCCCCTGGGGCCAGCAGAATGCAGATCATTCTTTCTCCTTCCTGCAGGCTCATCCCTCCCATGGATACTACTCAGTGCCAGCCCAGCCTTCAGGCACTGAAGGAGGAAGAGAGGGCATCTACAGGACAGCTGCTTGGATCGCAAGGCTTCTGTGCCTGTACGACCAGATTTTTCTTTTAATTTGTTTAACTGTTTTTTTTTTTTTCACGCTGGCATTCAAAACAGGGCTAGCTAGGGGCGCCTGGGTGGCTCAGTTGGCTGAGTGTCTGACTCTTGATTTCGGCTCAGGTCAGGATCTCCCAGTTCGTGGGTTTGAGCCCCAGGTCGGGCTCTGCACTGACAGCGCAGAATCCTGCTTGGGATTCCCTCTCTCTCTCTCTTCCTCTTTCCCTGTTCCTCTCCCGCCTGTGCTCTCTCTGTCCCTCTCTCTCTCAAAAATAAACAAGTAAACTTAAAAAAAGTTTTACGAAAAGGCCTAAACGGGGGGTGGGGGGGGTGGATATGAAGGAGGGCACTTGTTGGGTTGAGCGCTGGGTGTTATAGGTAAGTGACGAATCACTAAATTCCACTTCTGAGCCAATATTGCGCCATATGTTACCTAACTAGAATTTAAATAAAAATTTGAAAAAAAAAGAAATGAACACTATTGCTGATTTTGAGGTGAACATACATATTTAGAAACACATAAACGTTAAAGAAAGAGAGCACTAAGTATATAACTTACAAGACACTAAGGAAAAACATTTACCGGCTACGAAGAATGCGGTAAAAGAAGGTTAGAGGCAGTAGAGAAAAAGTCGGGTTACACAGAAGGCAGAGAAAGAGATAGGAGAAGTCATTCAAGTAAAGAAGTCATTGCAAAAAAATGTCAAGTAACCTCAATCACCAATTAAAAGACACCCGAATGTTGATTTTTAAAGATACAGCTATGTAATTCTATAAAACATAAACTTAGGTACACAAACACGGGAATGTTGACGATAAAAGATTAGGCAGAATACGCCAGGGGCAGAAAACCAACTTAAAAATACACAGATAGTCTAATTTCTGGCTTTTGAGTCAATAAAATTGTTGCTGTGAAGGCCAAACATACGTACCGGTAGCACAGATCACATAAAACAGAATTTAGGGGGAAAAGAGTGACAGCACGATGGAAAAACATTTAGCCTCGCCGGGATGAGATGAAATTCTCAAACCTAGGTGGACGCCATCATCTACCCTCAAATATAGAAGAAAAGAACCTGACGGAATCTCACGTATAGACGGACAAATCTAACATGATAAAAATTTCTCTAACAAATCTGTTTCCCTAATTGATAGGTTAAGTGAACAGGGCAAGGTTCTGCAAGGTTTGATCAACCTAATCAACAAATTGGTTTCAAAGACGTCTACTTGTAGGCAGCTCCCTCTAGCAAGTAGAGAATCTACATCCTTCTGGAGCATGAGGCAACATTTATGTCAAAGGAAAACAATCATCCAGGTCTCAAAGCAAGTCTGAAAATGAAAACAAAAACAAAAACAAAACCAAAAAGCGACCATATAGACTATGTGCCCTTATTCTACTGTAATTAGCTTAAAAATAAAACCACAAGGGGCACCTGGGTGGCTTGGTAGGTGGAGCAACCGAAACACGATTTCGGCTCAGGTCATGATTGCCCGGGTCGTGGGTTCAAGCCCCGTGTCAGGCTCTGTGCTGACCGTGTGGAGCCCGCCTGGGAATCTCCCTCTCTCTCTGCCCCTCCCTTGCTTGCTGTCTCAAAATAAATAAGGAAACTTAAAAACAATGAAATCAGAAACACACTGTGTAAGGATAGGGTTCCCTTGGGGTTGGTCTCTGACAGAGCTCTGCTTCTCCCTGGGGACGTTCAGAAGTCTGCCGCTGACCCCTGACCGAGGTGGGAAGAAAATGTACTTGCTAGCGACTTAGAATGGGAACACGGTCACCTTTTGATGGGCAAGAGATGAACATCCTCCTTGGCATTGCTTTGGTAGCGTTTCCGTGACCCTCTGTGTCACGCTCCCCCTGCGGATCCTTGTAAGTACTTGGAGCAGCTGAGGTGGGGGCTCTGTACCGGGAAAGGCACCAGTTAAGGATTTTCGATTTTCAATAGAGAAGACTGCGAGGGCGGGAAAAGGGGGTGGCTCTCCTAATGCTAAAACAGGGAAGGCAGAAGTCGAGATCCGTTTCAAGTCAGAGAGGTGAGGTACAGCTAGTGTGTCCAACTGCCCCTTCCTCGTCTACTTCACCCCTCCCGACAACCGCAAACACTGGGACGCCCTTAATTTTCCAGATCTACAAAGACAAGCTTAATTCTGCATACAGACGCCCCCGCTGCAGTATCAGGGGATGTTTGAGAACAGGAAAAACAGGCACCTGGGGGGCTCGGTCGGGTGAGCGGCCGACTTCGGCTCGGGTCACGATCTCGGGGGGGGGGTCGGAGGTTAAGCCCCACGTCGGGCTCGCTGCTGTCAGCCCCATCAGCGCAGAGCCCGCTTGGGATCCTCTGTCCTCTCTCTGCCCCTCCCCGGCCCGCGCTCGCCCCAAAAATAAATAAATATTTTAAAGAGCCGGAGAGATAGGGAGCGAGAAAAATTATCTGATGTATACAATTTTTTTCGTCCTCTTGTCCTCCTCCTCCTCCTCTCTCTAAACGGAAAGGAAGAACGGTTTGCGGAACAAAATATGCAAGCAAATGCAATATTCGTTTAGATGGCAATTCACCACGCGATTTTGTGAACTTCTGCTGAATTATTTCTACAAGCCTCCAAAGGGTGGAACGACAGGCATTTTGTCACAGCTATTTGTTGGTGTGCCACACATCCCTCTTATAAGAGTGCGCACGCAGAATTTAACCACTTGGGCTCTCGGACACTTTAGGAAATGAGCCAACGGTGCCTCATTAGTTAAAGATGAAAATGTCCAACTACCAGTTAACCAACTGAGGGAGTTCTATACTCTTTTAATTTTTGTTAACGTTTATTTATTTTTGACCGAGAGAGATGGGGGCCAGCAGGGGAGGGGCAGAGAGAGCGGGAGACACAGGATCTGACACAGGTTCCAGGTCCCGAGCTGTCTGCACAGAGCCCGACGCGGGGCTCGAACTCATGAACCGCGAGATCATGACCTGAGCTGAAGTCGGACGCTTAACCGACGGAGCCACCCGGCCTCCCCGGGAGTTCTAGAATCTTTAACCACTGTATGGAAAATAAATCTTACTGTTCTGGATACAGAAAAAGATGGAGTCGTAAAAATAGAACTATACTGCGTTCGCGTGTGAAGGCTCTCAGTCTACACGGATCTCAACCAGGATTCCCCCGTCTATCGCTTCTCACCTTCATTCCACGTCTGTATCTCTTTGTGCCTCTGAGCTGAGTCGCGTGGAGGCCACCCTCAAATGGCGAGTGCACATTTGCAGAGGGCTCACCAGGTCTGGAAGGGATCCAGGTACTGGGGAGAAAGAGAAGGGCACAGAGAGAAGATGGCGTGTGGCCCTGGGAATCTTGGATTGTTGGCTATGAAAGACAGGCTGACACTCAAGACGTTCCAGTTCCTAGATGCGAGGGTTTTGAGCAAAGGTATAAATGGATCCACGTTGGTGACGCGGGAAGATCCCGAACTCACTTCCTCCCACAGACACAGCGAATCTACATTTATATCTGCAACAGTTTCCTCTGGAAAAAGCCTAGGAACTCACTGAATG